AAATTTATATTATATAAAACAAAATATAGAGTAAGTATAAACCAAGTATGACAGACAATAGTTCAAGTTTAATAAATAAGCAGGGCTCAGAGTTAACGATACAAGATATTACATGGAAAATGATTGAATCAGCACAAATCAAAATAATAAAAGAGGCCTTTCGTCTTCGATATAAAAAAGATAATAAGCTTGTTAGTGAATATGCTGAATATGTAAAAAATTTGCATAATGCTGACAATCAAGATGAGTATATAAAATATATAGCAATAACGCTTTTCCTAAATGATGAAGCATATAATAGAAGAATGTTAAGATATAGAAAATGGTATCAAGGTAAAAAGGAACTACTTACTAGTATAGAAGATTTATATAATCTTTATTATGAGTTATCCAAAAAGGATTGACCTATAACTGAAACAGAAATTGAGGAAGCTGTTGAGAATGTATTTATAGATGAGTAAATTATTATTTGAGCATCCATGTGGGAGGAAGTTCAACTTTCTTAATTAATTATAATTGCTTACGAACAAATTTTTTTTCTGGTCTACCTTCTAATTTATATATAACAGATTGACCTTTACGAATTAAAGTACTTTCAATCTGATAAACCTAAAAAGACCAATTTTTATCTATAATCCATCTTATAGGTAGACCATATTCTAACTCACTAGGTTTAAGTAAATATCAAACAAAATCTTTATAGGACAAATGTGGTTCATCAATCCAATAGGTCTTCTATGTTTTACTGCTGGCTTTGCAAATATTTTTTCACCTTTTAATGCTCTTTTTACAGCTTTGTTAGGAGTTATATGTATTAATCGAGTAACAGTATTATTAAAAGTATTATCATTTATACAAAGGCTTTTAACCTAATCTCTACATCTCTTAGTTAATGGTAAACAAAAATCAATAGCATTTTGTCTATAAAAAGCATGTTTTTCAAATTCTTGATGATCATGTTCAGCAATAGCAACACCTTCCTTAGTTACAGCATACTGAATTTTTACACTACAGCTAAGTAATAAATCTTTGCACTTACCTAAATATTCAGTGCCTTTGTCTATAATCAAAACTGTAGGCCAGATAAGCAGGCAATTTGGATCATCATAAATTTTCTTAAATATTTTAGCTAATGATGCTGATGACTTATTAGTTAAAGCATAACTTTTATGGAATCTAGTTGTTATATCTTTTATTACTCCTCTGTGTTTGTAAATTCTATTGCCAATTTTATCATGAGGCATAGGAGTAGTATCTGATTGATGTACTTCATTTAAATTTTGTATTTCATTAAAAGAAAAATATTGAATAAATTTAGGGCAAGGCTTATGAATCTGGAAAACTGCCTGTTTGTTTAACCAATCTTTTATCACTGCTAACGAAAAATTATGCCTAACCCTTCTACATGCATCACACATTTTTTCAGCAGTCTGATAGTAACTTTCAGACTTATAATATAGTTTTTGTAATATGATTTCCTTATCCAAATCATGGGCCCTCTGTGGGTCAATATAAATTACAGGTTTCTCTATTCCTTTGTTTTATTATATTAATAAAAAACAATGAATAAGTTACAACAAACCAACCAAGAACTCTATGAGGTGGTATCGCAATTAGCTAAATCAAATAGGAATTTTGAACAATGTCTATATACATTAGAAAGAGTTATAGGTATACAGGAAGAGAGAATACGATTTCTTGAAAAAGAGTTAAATAATGCTATCGAACTCTCTACACAAGAGAAAGAAGAATTAATAGAAGAAATTTCAAAATTAAAAAGAATTGTTCACCAAATCGAGGAAGAAAATAAAAAGAAAAACAAAGAAATTTCTAATAAAGATAGATTAATATCAGAATTCAATGAATGTGAAACAAAATTAAAAACCAGAATACAAGAGATATCTAAATTGACTGGAAATACGCCTAAAGTACAAGATTATACAACCAGATTAGTAGACGAAAATAAACACCTTAAACGAGAAATAAATACAATAAAGGTTAATCAAATAAATAGGATTAATAAAATAAATCAGCAAAAAAATCGTATTACAGACCTGCTTTGTCAAAATTTTGCATTAGCATTATTAAGATATCGAGATAGATTAGAGCTTATAAATACATGAGAGATAATAGAAAATGCACAAGCATGAAATTATAATGAAGATGAATCTAATTCTGATGAAAATTCTCAAGATAATTATACTTTTGATTTAGATATAGGCACAATAGCTGAATTGGCCGATGCTATAAACAGATCCTTAAATGATATAACAATATGTAAAACTGTTTTAACAAATCAAATTAAAAGATCAATAAGATCAATTCGATATAAATATGCTAACCTGCAACAAGATCTGATAAACAAACAATGGAATCATGATATATATAAGCAGGAGTGAGATCAGGCATTGCAGCAATTAGAAATTGAACAGGCATTTAATGAATATTGGTGAGACCGAATATGTGATAGATATATAAAATGAAAGAATAAAACTAAGAATGAGCATATACAAATACAGAACTATCGAAATGAAAGAGCTCTTGATGAATTTTGGTGAGATAGACTATATGATCGATATAAAAAATGGAAGAATAAGACTAAAGATAAATGCCAAATAATTCTGAATCAAAATTAGAATATTTTAAATTTGCAGCAACAAAATTTTGTATTAGTAAATAATCAGCAAAATCAATTGATGGCATTACCTGTAGGATTTGCACAACTAGAATTCCATAGTGATGAAGAAGATCATAAAGATTTCATAGATAGGTTCATATTATATATTACCTTGCCTGGAGTAAATAATGATGTAAATATTCTCACTATATTAGATCGATCCTTAAAAGGAGAAGTGAGAGAATGGTATTATAGAGAATTTGACAATAAAAATTTAGAGTTAGAAAATGTACTTGATAACTTTAGTATAGGTGCAACAATAGCACATATTCGTGGTGCTAATGCAGGAGGTATAATGGGTGCAGTTACTTCTTTCCCAAATGTTCCACTTGGACATACAGGTGCACAAATTATCCCTGCTCGAAATGTTGCTGAAGATTGGACAATAGCAGGAGGATGCCCAACTAATGCAGTACCAGTTGCACCAAATGCTAAAGGAGGTATTCCTATTATTCTAGCAGGAATTCGATCTGGACAAAGGCTTTGGTAGATAAAAAAACATTATCCAACTGCTAATAAATATGTAAAGATGTTAGAAATTGGAGCATTAAGACAAGGCATATATGAGAGTATACCTTCATTCTGGGCAAAAATTCAGAAATATGGTGATCAACTCGGTTATACTCCAGCACAGAAAAAAACCCATTTTTTATCTGGAGTTAGACCTGATATTAGAGATGAAATTTATAGAATTGGTCAAACAAAACCCATTAATGATATTATTGATAATTTGGCAGAACTTGAATTACATCATGGAATATTACAACAGGCACCATCTCAACCTCGCTATGCACCTATTGCTCCTGCTATTTCAGATGTTATACCTCAACAACCAGCATTCCTTATAGCTAATATGCAAAAAATGATTCAAGATGCATTTGCAAAACAGTGAGCTGAATCTAAAGCTGAGATAGAAAAATTAAAGGCTGAACTTCAAGCACAACAACCACAAGTTGCAACAGTAGGAAATTTTCAACCCCCACCTAAGTTTTATCCTATAAAATCAGAAAAACCTCAGCAAGCATTTTACATAGTAGATCAAGAAGGTAATAATATGGATCCACTTACCCAAGATTCAGATTACCTTAAATACCTTGAGCAAGCAAAAGCTTTATATAAAAAACCACAAAGATCCAACCAATCTGTCAGAATGGATAGAATAGAAGAAGGGCTTAATAAAACTCGAGATACTATAAATCAGTTAGCAGACCAATTATAGAAAAAAGTGTATATAAAGAAATGTAGAATTTGTAGAGAAACAGGCCATAGCAAGGGCAAATGCCCCAATCAACCTACGGTCCAATCTAATTATACTCGATCATATTTTACATCTCTCAAGCCAATATATTCCCAATACACATCTCCTAATTCAGATGATAGCGAGGAGGATGAAGGTGGGTATAATGAGGAAAATAATCAATGGCATGCTCCTCCATTCTATTTAGAAAAAAAAAATGGATATCATCAACAATAAGTAAGATATTACAGAATAAATCAGTAATTTCATGCAAATCTTTAGTTACAGAATCTAAACAAAATGAAAAAGTCACTATGCCAAACCTTTTTTCAGAATCAGATAACCAGTTATTAGAATTATTATCTTCAGCAATGCGAAAAAAAAACATTGACCCATCTACAAAAAATAAATGGGCTGAATCACTTGAATATATGCAGTATAGAATTGAAGATATAATTATTTCAGATGGGTTTGCCAATACAGCATCAGGATGTCTTGTTATGAATAAAGCACTAAATGAGGCATTAGGATGGAATCTTGGAATGGCACCAAATTTTTCCCTTAGACATAATTCTGATCATATAATGAAATTAGAAGGAGGACATAAGGATGTACCAATATCTATAAAATATAAAAATAAATGGGTTACTGAAACAGGACATGTTGTTGTTATTGATGATGGAAAACTCAATTACCTTCTTTGTTTAGGAACGCCATGGATTCGAAAAGTTCAAGGAATTCTAGATACAAACAAACATGAATTTTGAATGATAGTTTATAGAAAATCTTATATTATTCCAACCTTTACTAAGCCAATCAAGGATAATGTTTTATCAAGCCTTTATACAACAGTGATTCAGAATAATAATCAAACTTTCGATTCTTCTACCAAGATCGATACTAAAGAGGAGCCAGCATCTAATGAGAAAAAAGAGTCCCAAGCCTCTGATTCATTCACTGAAGATCTAAAAAAAAAAATATAATAGATTCTGACAAACAAATCGATTTCTTTCTCAGACTAGAATTTCATTCCAAGATTCAAATCATATCAGATATGAAAAATCTAGAAAATAAAGCAACTATTAAAAAAAATTTATTAGAGCTCTTGATTACACAGAATATCTTGAAAAGGAATTGATACAATTTCAAGATTCAGCTTGAAGCTGTTTTTTATATTCTTATAAATTTTCTATTCTAGCTTGCACATCACTTCCTGGTATTGATGAGATAGAATGATTTATAGTTTTTGATTCTGATTGATCTCCACCTTTAGATAATTCTATATCAGAGTTTGTCTTATCAATATTAGAACTAGAAAGTTCCTCATTCTGTGAGACTTTTTTTTTTCTGCTAGTCTTTTTTGTCACTGGTTTGCTCAAAAAAATTATTTGCTCAGGATTTCTGGCATTTGATAAGCTATGTATAGGCAAGATTTCTGGTTGAGGTATTGAGATAGATGAATTCATAGATGTTATTTCTATTTCAGGTAGTTGAGGATATATCTGGCCATTTACAATATCATCATATCTTTCACTACCAATTTTATAATTAGCATACATAATGTGTTTTCTATTTGGTATCTGTTTTATATGAGCATCCCTTATTTTTTCGATTGCTTTAGGAGTTAATGGAGTAGCAGTAGGGTTAAGATATTGTCGAACTTGAGATCTATCTTTGGTTTTAACTATTTTAGAAAAATATATAATGATATTAAAAAAATATCTGATTTAAATCTAGGAAAATATCTATTCATTTCTAGTATATAATTGGATAAAAACTGAGTAATAATTAGACAATAATCAGACACAAATCAGACAAAAACTGAGAAATAATTAGTACTGACTTGATTATAGATCTATTTTCATATAAAACTGGTTAATTATTATTTTATGCCTAGCTAAGTATCAATTTTTGCCCAGCTAATTACTAACTTTCGCCTAATTATTGCCTAGTTAAATACCAATTATTATCTGGGTTCCTTTTTATTCATAATCAGTAAAAAGTCAAATTGCAATTAGTTTTTTTTCTTTGAACATAATTCTCTTCGATTATATAGCACCAATACGTACTTTGTATAGTGAATCTACTAATGCCAAAAATTTTCAAGGACATGGATATAAATTAGATAGTAGAGAATGTGAACTTGAATCTCAATGCAATGAGTTGCTTCTTGAAACCAAATTTTTCACTAATAAATGTTCTGAATTTAGAAATGCTAAAGCTCTTGCAGAAGCACGATCTGATGTGATTACTAAAGAGCTAGAGAAAAAAAATACCAAGATTTTACATCTCCAAAAAAATTAAATCGGTACATTAATGACAAAAATCAAAATAACTTGATTAAAAAACAACTCAAAAAAGAAATTAAAGAGTTGAAAAGCAAAAATACTAACCTTACTGAGTATAAAGCCAAATATTATAGTAAACTGAAAGAAGTGAATTCATTCCAATCTAGAATCAAGTCATTGGAAGAAGAATTATCTTTAACTTAGAAATACTCATCAAAAAAAGATTCTGAGATAATGTCCCTCAAAGCTGAATTGGTGAATATAAAGGTTGAATTAGATTCTAAGATCAATGAGCTTGAGCATCTAAAATCAGAAGATATTTCGGTATCTGTGGTTGGTGGAGATAGTGAAAAAAATATATCAAAGTCTAGACCCAAAGGGTTGAGGCTAAGCCTCACTTTGCGTCATCGTTGCTTTGCAATAATAATATCTTTGCAGTTAGTAAAACTAGCAAAAATCTCAGTCAATATTTTGCATACAAAAAAATTATGAATGAAGTTAAAAAAATTAGCACTGATATACCGACTCATACTAATAATAAAATTGTTCCAATATTAGAATCTTTAAAAATCGATACTGAGGTTACTTCTAAGATAAGTGATAAAACTATTATTAACGAAAATAATAAAGATAATATATTACAACCAATCAATGCAGAAAACCAATTTCAAGAAATAAAGAATGTGACTCCGATTAGATCTCATAATATTACAATAAGAAAGAGTGAGGAATTACCTATTATAGCATTAGGTGCTAGCATGGTTAATAAGTATCAAACTACTCCTATTAAGTTTGTTATTTTTGCCTTGATAATATTATTAATTATATGATATATATACAGGCAAATTTTTTGCCCAACCCCACCTTCTTGTTCTTTGAACTCGAAGCCAGATTATACCCACAGTATGACCACCTCTGGTAATTTGTTTTCTGGAATATATAAACTGATTATGAATGAACAAAGTGAAGTGAATTATCTGGAGAAAGAAAATTTTTATCCAGTATATAGAAAACAGAGTTATGAATTCCCAATCCACTATGCAAAAAAATTCAAAAATACCTCTTATGAAACTTTTCTTTATGGATATTGATGAGGCTACAAAGCATGCTTCATCATGCTATATTGGGCATCTAGCAATGTCATGACCATTCACTAAACTAGTTACAGGAAAAAGTGGCACAGGTAAGACTAATATATTCAGAAATCTTGTTCTTAATGACAAAGCTGAATATATATATAAAAAGAAAAAGAGTGGATCTAGATATATATGGTGTGATGATTTGATAGTTTGTGGATACCATCCTGATGAACCAAAATGGGCTTTTGTTAATATATGTATGAAATAATTGCAAGTAATCCAAGAGCATCATATTACAAAAATATTAGGTTTAGTTATATCTCACCTAAAAAAATTCCTAGTATAAAATCTTTCTCTTCTAAAGAAGTACTGTTATTATCTTTAAAGATTTATGTGTTGCCCCTGAGTCTATACAAAATCAAATTATCCCATTTTTTACACATGGACATCATCAGAATATTTTACTTATATTTACTACGCAAAAATACCATTATGTCCCAATGATCATACGTGAGAATCTTTTTCATATATTATTGTTTAACAGTGATAGTTCTCCTCAAGATGTTTCCAAAATTGTTGATCAGTATACTGATGATGTAAAAAGTGCATCAATGGTCATTAATAGCTATCTTTACAAGAGTGAGTTTATTTTATTTGACCTTAATAAAGCAGAGGACGATCCACTTGCAATCCGGTTGAGGTTCAATACCCTATTAGATTTGTAGAAAGAAATAGAGTTACATCAGAAGCATAAGACAAAAAATGCATTACCTACAGAGCTCACGAATTCTGAACCTGAAAAATTAGCCACGTAAGTGTCCTGCTTCACAGAAATGAAAAGTCTATTAGTATTAATCCCTTTTTTTCCCCATTTTTCAGAAAAAAAGATATAGTGTAAGCTACTAAAATAATATATATAGAGGTAATATGTATATTTCTGCTATCTATTTTTCTGACTTCAAGTGATAAAGTCTCAAGAAGGTGGAATTTTTATTTTACATCAACATTTTTCTATCTGAGTTGATATAAAGAGCCAAGATGATTTGTTTGTTTACAAACTTCCAAAGCACTTAATTGTATTATATACTCAGAGATATGAAAGTGGCTTGCTATACAAGAAAATTATTGATAAAAAGATACCTAATTGTGATCTCAAGAATAGCATTAGGAAAACGATGGACAACTACTCTATGCAAAAAAATGTTACTAGCCCTCAGGGATAATGAAATAAAGTCTAAAGTACTAGCCCTCGAGAATACTTTAGGTTGTTTTATTTTAAATAGATATATATATGAATAAGTTATATAATTAATAAATCGAATAAATAGATTCAATTAAATAAATAAATATATGAATTGCTTTGCAGACATGGTCTATACATTGTTAATTTGGTACATTTCCTCTCAAATTCTCTATAAAAGTTTATAATGTTAAGCAAGTTCTGTTGCACACATACCTTCAGGTCTGTAAAAATACTCTAGTCATTTCCTCTGTATAGTTGTACATGCTCAGATCTTTTTTGCTGTTTCTTGAATATGTTTAACTCTATTAATAAGATTCTTTATTTATAATTCATATTGATAAATAGCTAGCCTTGTGTAAATATCACTTTCAACTTCTGGTTTTTGTTTAAGCTCCATATACTCTTTGAAACATATATTACAATGTCTATTTCCAGTATAATTTGTATGCCAATGTTCCTTCATCTTATAATTGTGATATAATTCATATCCTACTCTTTTATCAACATAAACAAACTGATCACAACTATAACATATAGCAATATTCACTTTAACAGCCATATGATAACTGAATTCTTCTGTAGATTCCATCTTTCTGGCAATAAGATATCGTTTATTGTAATCAGTCAATTTATTGTTATTTCTATAATTTACTAATTGATTTCAGATTCAGTTCTTTCAATTAGATGGTGTTTTTCCATTATAAATTATTGAAATTGGCAGTTATCCCTCTACTCAATATCATTTAAAACTGGACAATTATCTGTATAGACCATATTTAATGATTAAGTAATTTAACATATTATAGTATTTTAGAGATTATGTGATTTATATCGTATTTAGGGATTTAGACCTATTTGATTTAATAACTATATACTAATGAATATTGCAATTCATTTTTTCTCATGTGAATAAAAATCATATATGCATAAATATTGATTACACCGATCACAAATATTTGCTCTCCCAAAGCCGTAATACTAGTAATAAAATTGAGCATAATACAGATGTTCGATCAGGCACGTAAGTGCCATTACTCTATAATACATATCATATGCCATACCAAAGAAGAAAATCGAAGAAGCCTATAAAATCAAGAGCAACAGAAGATTGAGCAACCCCTGGCTCATACTAATTAATTCGTGAATGAATTGATTACCAAACCCGAAATTAGTTTCATACTTATCTGATTTTTATATGTTACAGAAAATCGGAGACTCAACCCTTTGGATCATTGTTTAATGTGCATATATTAATAAATTTTTAATGTAATTCTAACTACTTACCTCTCTCTTTCGATTTCTATTCCATATGAAATTTTTTATTTTGGATCACCTGATCCGAGATGTGATAAAAATCATACTTCTTTAGAATGCTATACCATAATTATCTGACGATTAATTTGGTTGTATCAGCTAATGATACTAATCACTGTTGAGTCACAGTTGAGTTGCAGTATTTTTTTTCTATATAATTCTATGAAAAACAGGTGTATCGTGGTTGAGTCACATTAGAATCTTAGTGATGTGGACCAATGATCAATTGCACTTATTAATTGCTGAAAGAAGAAATAGAAATGCTAAGTATCACAATATTCTTGGAAGTAGTAGAGTGACCCTTCGGGTCTAAATTTTATGCAGTGTCACTCTCCTGCAGAATTAATTCTCATGGTCAATTTTTTATTAATAATGAATATTATGAATAATGAGAATAATACCTAGACCTTATATGATCCTGCAATAAGAAGGAGACTTTAAAAGGCTATAAGAGTAATATGTATAATGTTCTTTATCAGTAGTTTTATCAAAATTCATATGTTACAGGAACTTGGAATCTCTGCCATTCCCAGATCATTGAGATCGCTAACTTTTTCACTTCGTAGTACTGATCGTTGAATCTAAGGGGGTTTAATTTACCAGAAAAAATAATAAAATAGCTTCAGTATACGGAACTTATGACCGAGTGAAGTTGCTTTACATAGTGGAATCTAGATTGCATTACCCTACTGCAATTACTAATCACGTAACTTTCCTTCTGGCAGGTTCTCTAGATCTAGCAAATGAACAGTATAAAAATAAGCAAGTTCTTGTCCATAAGATAAGTCAGCAATAACATTATTTTTTGCTCATATATATTTTTATTTGATTTATCTGTCTGTAATTTATTTTTAAAGTAATTTTGCTATTTCATTTAACAGAATCTATGAAACCGAATTTTTACTTACCATGATTTTTTCATATTCAGGTACGAAAAATGAGCAGTAACAAAAAAACCACCACCTCTAAGAACAAGAAAAATAAGACCTCCAACTATTCTAAATCAAAATGACAATACAAGCCGAGAGAATTTTTATCTTATGATGAGACCTGAGGAAAAATATCAAAAGAAAACTTAGAGCGTGATAGGGACAATAATGATAATGATTGGTTAAATCCTGGTCAGCAGAAGGAAATGTTGAATCAAATGTAAACCCCACCAACCTAACCCATTAAGGGTATTTTTTATTATATAATAAATATATATATATTATTTGTATATTATTGTTCTGGCAATAATTATTATAAAATAAAGAGAGGAGGTCATGTGTTCTTGCCATTTTTTATTTTTATATACATCTGATCAAAACTGTAATATATAACTAAAGTGAATTATTTTTTCATGAAATGAATTTTTATTTGAAGAATTAGTATTACGTCATTATTAATATGCATGAATTGAATAATGATGTTCTGATTTTGTATAAGTTTCACTAATATTTAAATCATAATAATAACTTTCATCATTATCAGAAAAACCACAGAAGCTCCCATCATCCTTATCATCATCTTCATTGTTGTCATCGGAGAAATCTTCATCATCGTAATCATAGTTGGAATTTTCATTATCGGGCATACTTATCTGTATCTTGACTTCTGATGAATCGGAATCTTGATCATTACTTAACTTATCTCCTGAATTAGAAGTATGAGACAATAGGATAGAGAAAGTGATTGTAGTAGTTACCTTTGTTTTCGAAAATTCTGAATCTTTATTTTCTTTTTTGCAAGAAATTTGATAATCACTTCCTGAACTCAGTTCAAAGAATTTGGATTTTAGGGTGGATGATATGAAACATCGAATCTTTGATTCTTCTATCTTAATACTATAATCAAATAGTATGTTATCTATAATATATTGAATATCTTTGTTTGTCATTTTTGAGATACTATCAGCAGAAAAGGAATGTATTTGATAAATTTTATCCATACCTATTGCACTGAAAAGTTTGTAGGGCTTTTTAGCCTTTTCGATTCTCTTCTATAAAAGTGTGTCAGAGATATTTGCAGGGAGCTGAGCACGAACTTCTTTATTTAAAATTCTACTAACTGCATTAGATTCCAGATCAACTTGTTTTTCTGATACTAATTCATTATGTCTTTGAATGAGAGTTTTACCAAAATTACAATAATATAAGATTGCTTCTTGGGTTTTACAGTCAGCGAGAATTATAGCATTACAAAGTTTTTCATATAAAAATGTGAAGCTATTATTGCTGGGTTGAGATGATGTGAAGCATTGAGTCTTTGACTCATCTGTTTCATTCAGAGTTGTAGATATCACATCATTGTCTGCATTACTATTATTAATAGATGAAATAGAGTTTTTAGAAACTTCTGTCATGAATTTCTGTACTTTATTTTTACTAAATTGTGAAATATCTTTATCATATGATAAAGGATCTTGAGATCCAAGCTTCTTTTCTCTATTTTTCTCTCTTATTATATTACTAACCCTTTCCTTTTCTTTTAGGTCTAGAAATTCATCGATTACTTTATCCTCTGAAGATTTGTTTTCTATACGAATTGATGATATGAAGCATTGACATGAACCAACCTTCAGCTGAGTCTTTGTCTCTTGACATATATTGAAATTTGGAGTATCATCAGTTATATCAAATGCAGGGGTGTCTTCATGATTATGATTTGTTTTAAGGGGTATAGAAAAACAGTTATCCTTTACTTGGTATATATTGGAATCAGATATTCGATACTCTGCATCATCAGATGTGTTATCAGTATATCCATTGCCTCTGTTTTGCAAGCTCTGCTCCTTGATTAGTGAGACATTATGTTTCAGTTTAGCAATAAGGTCAGTTTTTTCCCTATCTCTCTGCTCTAGATTCAAGAATCTGGCTTCAACCTCTTCTTTGTCTTGTTTTAATTTTGCATTCTCAGCTTCGACTTTGATATTCTTAGCTTCAAGCTCAGCATACTTCTTTCTAAGTTCGCTAATCTCAACTGTAAGTTTGGTATTTAATTCTCTTAGTGAAACAATTGTATATTGTGTGTCTATCATCATTTTATATAAGGTACAGACATATTCAATTCTTTATTGTAGAGATATAAATCACGTGATAAAAATCCCTGAACTTAGTTCAGGAAGTATAAAATGTCAAGAAAAATTCTCGATAACGTATACCCAATGATATTAATGTATCCAGATTAATCTCAAAAATACACTTGTATAAATGATAAAATAAATTCATGAAATACACATGCAAAAATAAACTTGTTTATGTATGCAAAATCGACCCTATGGGTCAGCTTTATTATGCACAAATAATCTATAGAAGGATTGGCTCGTCTATAATTTCACAGAACTTGCCAGTGGCATCCCGAAATCTGGCGCTCATTCGTATGTCCTCAAAACCCTCATCATGCCAGAAGTGAATGACATTTAATCCCCTATCCTGAAGCTTTTCGCTCGGCCAGTATGGGTCAGATACAACGGAATCCTCCCTAGAAAAATGCACGATCCAAACTTCCTCAGGACAAAGCTAGTCGGCATACTTTATTACTCGATCGAAATGTTTCTTGAGTGTGGAAATGGATCCTGTTGCTACGGCTTCAAGGACAGCTTCAGGGTAGGGATTGTCCGGTTTCTTTATCGTCAGGTCACAAAAAAGGTGGTGCCAGTCTCCATCACTGCCAATCCCTTTGAGATGCCACTGGCCAGTTATTTCGAAGCCATGCACCTTTGCAAGCCAATTGTGCAGGATTCTATACATCTCTGCATCGTAAACACTCTCTCTTGGGACGCATTCATCGCACTTGGACTCTACTTGCAAATGGTTCGAACATTTATAGGAGCGGGTAGAGCCTAAGGCTATCGTCTTTTGGTCAAATACACGGACAGCGGATTTAATTATTTCCAGAGTGTTTACTCCCCCGTTGGCCTGCAAAGGCACGTTCATATCAGGGCAGAACCAACTTGTTTCCGGAACTACACACTGCTTCTTTGTAGGAGCGTCTATTGTGGCCAGATCCCTCTGCCTCTTCCCTAAAATAGATGAGGATGGTGCCGGCGATGATGCTGGTGATGATGATCTTACCGGTGGTGGCTACGTCTTCCTTGCTTTGCTAGCTTTCCTCCATAAGCTATTTACTTTCTCTGTATCGGCCTGTAGAAAGCAAACCAAATGAGAAATGGAATAATATTTCCTAGCAAGCGTAATCAAATAAAAATAGGGTTTGATGGCGAATGCAGGGATATATCAATAATAATTTTATTAATGTAAAGGTGCATATCCAAATTCTCCTTTGGAACCAGCAGATCTTTACTAAAAAATATCATGATATATTCCATGATGTTTACTAGGGCGTGGTAATAAACGCATCCATTTCAATACTTGCAGGACTCCTACTAGGGCGTGGTAATAGGTACAAGCATCTGGCTATATGCCTCATCAAAACAAATTAAATATGCTCACCTTACTATTCTCTATAAGATTTTGAGCAATGTCGCGAACTTCTTGGGGCATGCAAAGATCATCATTAATTTTATGTAAGGTAATATAAAAAGTACGATGTGCCTCTTTCTTCTCAGCGAACTTATAGTTATCAGTAATCAAGGCTACATAATGATCGAGTGCCCACTTCTCACATGGGAAAAAATCGAAATATTTAGCATATGGAATGCTTTCAGAGGTTTCTCGAGTATAGTTAGTAATAGACGTGGACATGGTAAAAAACGTATTAGAAATCAGGTACACAGAAAATTACAACGGAAAATACGCATGACAAACTTACCCTACAGATCTTTTTTATACCTACAACTATGGAATTAAGGAAGACGCGTTAAAGTAACTTAGCAAAAAACGCGTTTGAGTTCTATAGTGCACACAGCGCTTTGGCATGAGTGTGATCAGCTCGGGAGCTAACCCAGAATAGGCTGATCACAATATTTTACCCCGTCCCGCATGCAGGTGGTACATTTCACTAAGCGATCACTGCATGTAGACTTCTCACGTGAAGTGCCTCGAAAATATCTATGAATCTCTTCTGAAGATAAATAAGTCGCATCAGGTCTTAATCTTGTAGGCATTTTAATGAAAATACAAAATAACAAATATAATTATTATATCAAACCATTAACTCTGATTCATTTTTAATTATTCGAGAATTTTCACATTCACATTGCCTATATATTCCATCCGCTACTTTTTTACACGTTTAACAATATAGGTGTGAATGGTGATTGCATTCGTCACAAACTTTACATCCATGCTTCCAACCTCCCCGCCAATTCATTACATTCATTGTCGGGATAAATATATGGTAAAGTAAAAATAGATCACTCTATTAATCTAGACACGAGCATATATGCGAGTGGATAGGGATGTGCCACTTTTCGAAGCAATTTTGTTTATCTTTACGTATGAGTATGCTATTCTGACCTTTCATTGTTATATATTGACAGAAAAAATATAACGTGGCTAAAATTTTTTTATTATACAAACCTGCCCCGCCTTACATGCATAAACCTTAGGTCAAGATCCGTACATGTTGATTGAATGCCTATCGCTATATTTAACAATATTGCAGTATTGGTATGTATAAACTTTATTATGAATTAAATTATATACTGTAATTATATGTATATATGATTTACTAATAAAAAAATATTTATATCACGTTGGCGTCAACTTGGGGGACGCGATCTGCACTAATTAAAATGCTTTATAATATTATAAATTTGTGTAGAATTGAGCTTTGAAATATAATCAGCACTATATGTTCGAATTCTCTCAATTTTTTCAATTCCTATCCCCTTAACTATTTTTTTGGTATCGGGGTCATAACTTTCTCCAAACAACTTGTAGATATTTCTAGCCTTTGCAGTTTTTTTACGCAAACTATCTCTTGTAAATCCCGGAAGATTGGTTGTGACTTCGCCATATATTAACCCTCTAGCTTGTTGATCATTGTACCTACTGTTATCATTTTTTATTTCTTTAACTCTTTCTTCAAATTTTTTAGCAAACAGATACCAGCATCTTATTTCTTCTTGGTAGGCATGGGTTACATGTTTTTCTGCTCAGTTTGCATTATAGTATAACTAGAGTAAAGTTATTGGTTTTGATTCTTTGCTCTTATTTCCTCTATCATTATCATCAATCGGCTCACTTGGCATAGATAGTTCTTTTATTAAACCTTGTACTTTATCAGGTTTCATGGATTTTGTTTCACTTCATGGGATAGCTTTACCACCATCTATGGATAACTTACTTACCACCCCCATTAGATTAGAGGTTTCTTCACCTTCATCTTCTACTGCCTCTGACATATCTACGTCTTGAACTTCAGTTGATGCTGTTCCTTCATTATCTATGAAACAAATGTGATAAGTTTTTTGCTTATCTTTATTACTTTTTTCAAGATAGTTATAATAGAGTATATGATCACACACGAGTGTGATAAATGCTTTGGGTGGATTTAACAAAATTTCTTCATTACATTTATGACAATTCTCTAGTTTCAGTATTGTGATATTACTTGCGAGAGAGTTTGGATGACCTTTTAAAATATTTATTCCTAAGGCTTTTAATAATTCTGCTCGTTTGAGGTATTTTTTGGTAAGTTCTCCTTCGCTAAGTGGTTCGTTACTCATAGTATAGGTTACGATGAGTTGGTTAATGATGAAAATTTTTCTTATCATTTCATACTTACCTGACTATATATTATTTTTTTACTATCTGGAATTATTTGATAGTTAAAAAATAAACGGATATAATATCTAAATCAATACATTTACCCAAACTTTAACCAGATAAGTCTTTGAAATTTATTATTCATTTATTCTGTTTTATAATATATTTTCGTATTAACAAACCAATTTGCAGATTTTATGAAATCTCATTTCGGATTTGACGATCCATTCATTCATGAATTATTTAGTATAGTGAGGGATCGCTCAATCTTATTTATATTTTTGCTAATAATTGCATAAGTAAAAAATTATATATATTATTATCAAAGTTGATCACATAGTGGATAGATATATTAAAATATTATGAAGCAAAGCTATATTTATTCTTCTAGAATTTCACAATCACCATATAAATATGTTGTTTCCATATCACAAACTATCCACAATTTCATATCTAATGGGTTAATGCTTCTCTTTGTTTGCTTTATTCTATATATTCGATGTCTGTAACTTCAGAGCAATTGTGCAGTTCATGTCTGATCCTCTTTTCCTTCTAAAATACAGTCCTCAAATATTTTATGAGTAAGCTCTTTCTTGATAAGAGACTTTTTTAGACTTTTAGCTTTTATCATATTTTTTTGTGAATTTTCACAGACAATACTATAACATTTTGCGTAAACTTCTGCATAGCCAATAGCATGATTTCCTCTATTTTCATCCTTCCACTTACCTATAACTTTTGTATTTTTTAAGACATGCTTACTTTCATCATTAATTATCTACTAATCTTCTAGAAGATTTTTTATCACCCAATGGTCTTTGGGATAATCACTAAAATCAAATAAATCGCAATTATCAATCATGTCCTGATAAATGTTTTTGGTTTCAATTTCTATAATTAAAGAATCTGTATTAGTATATAAATGCCTTACCTGATCTCTATATTTTTTTTTGAGATATCTGTACTAGAAGTCATATATAAAGTATTTAAAAAGATCAAGAATATATGCTCTAACATATTCTGGCTTATTTAGTTTTATATTGGTTTGTCTTTGATGTACTGCTACCAAATTTGCTCCATAAAAAATTTTTTTACTAACAAATGCCGAATCTGATATTAATCTATGTAATCTCTGTTCTTCATCTACCTGTCTAACTAAATCTATATTTACTCGTTTTCTTACATCTTCCATAGTTTTTTCAAATACTGAATTATTCATTAATTTCCAGAAATCTTTTTCAAAAGCATTCTTTGCTTTTGCATGTCGTTAAATATTCATTGCAATGTATAGTTCCAACCATGGTAATTGTTCGAAACCTAGAATTCGATATACTTTTTTAAGAACATATCCTTCCTTTATACATTGTTGTAGATTTCTATAATGAATAACATAATGGTCCTTATCATAGAGAGTTAGTATAAGTTTTTCTGTATCTGAATATTGTTTATCTACCCATTCTTTTTGTTTTGAACTATACCAATTATATGGTATATTTATTCATTCTGGACACATTGAATAGTCTCAAAATTTGGGATGTAATTTTTTTGGAATCAATAACTTAACTTCCAAACAACATCCTCGATTTGAATTTTCTTTTATTTTTAAAATTTTCTGCACTAAAGAGTGGAATGCTTTCAAAGGTTTTGTTGATAGTTATTTAAATGCTTCAGTTAATAAATATTGAGACATTGCCTAGCCATAAAGATTATTAGCATCTAAATATAACAGCTATTTTTTCGCTTTTTTTCCATCATACCCTTCTAATCCGAGAATATTTGCTCTAGCTATACGTCTTCTAGCTAAGAACATTCCTTCTCTTTTCATTGCAGTAAAGAAGTCATGCATATCTCCTTAATGCTTATTAAATAATTCTAATTTTACCTTTGTTACCTTCATACACACATCCCATGCAAGACCTGGTTCAGTTAAATAATTTGCTGAATCTAATTTGAATGCTGAATAAGATGCTTTTTGAAATGCCTTGAATGCATCTGCTAATATAAGAACATTCATTTTGAAGTAAATATCATGATAATCACTAAAGGTTTTACAAGCAGTTTCTTTCCAAATTGTATGAGCAAAATCATAGTCCTTTTGAGTTATTATGTAAATTTTCTCATATTCACATTCTTTGCTTTTATATCTTTGCTTGCAATAATTTATTTCATTCAAGTCACTATTAAATCTTTTCAAGAAGGTAGTTGCATTTTTTTAAATTTGTTTCTACTAGTTAACTACTGATATAGGAATATTCCTTTATGTGTAAGCAATGATAATAAATGAGGTGAGATGAATTTTGACATAATTGGAAAACATTTTGCTAATTGTTCTGGTGTTTTAGTTTGGCCCTTCTTTTCATCACATAAGTTTTCTGCCATCTTAGCTAAACCAGGTAATGAAAATTTCAAACTATCAATAAATTGAAGTTGACCAACTAAGAAAGTAATATATTGTTTTGAATTATTTGTTATTGGCACTATTTTTTCATTCGTCATTTTTTCTATTTTTTGTATAAAATGATGGAAATTATAACCACTTCCATTACAAATTAGTATGGGGATTTTTATTATTTCTGGATTGATTCGTAATTTTAAATTACATCCACTATGAGCTGGTCCTCTAAACTTTCCTGTAATATGGTTATGATCTATTACTCTATTTTTTTCCTTATCTGGTAAATGTGTTTTGCAATACAAACATGTCTTACAAGATTTATGTTTTTCTTTTTGCTCATTATCTAACTTATCTTGAATCATTAATTTTTTCCCGTGATATTTTCTATGCGGAGCACCCAAATATTTTTTGGTTTCAGGATCGAATATACAAATTTTATTATATCCAGCTTCATGTAATTTTTCTTCACATATCCAACATTTGTTTGCAGTTTGATATTTTTGCCATAATTTAGGTATCATTTTTTCACATGAAGCTATTTCACAAAGCTTATCTAAAATAACTTCTAGATCTTCTTGAAGGTTTTCCATTAAGTCTTTTATTATATTTTCTGATTTTTGATTAATCACTGGTTTTTGTGTTGTTCTATCTGAACAATAAATAGTATATCCATATGAAACTGCTATCTGCTTCACTTCTTTTATAGTATTTTCTTCTTTATCTTTTTCATCTGCTTCAATTTCTTTGGCTTCTAAATCCATAGTTATTAAATAAGGTTTCATTAACATGTTTTTGATATACTTGGGTTTTACATAATTCTTATCTTCTTCTGAGAGAATTAAATATTGTGAAGCCTTATTTGAACCTGGACATGTAAGAATATGTTTCTGTAATAAATTTAATCGACTATATAGAAATCGCAAGCATTTTCGGCAAAAGTATTTTTTATCATAATAGTTATTCCAGTTATGCATTAATCACTCGAAATTTGTTATATATATATAATATGTTTTTAAGCCTTCTGATATATCATTTTGATTTTTTCAATCATTTAAACTCTCTTTACCTTCTGTTAAATATAATAAATCTATCATATGCTCTACTTGATAATTACATTCTGAAATATGTAATAAATCTATATCTACTTTTATTTTTCTGAAAGCTTCTCTATAAAATGGTTTAAATATATTGATAGCATAATTAGAATTGCTTTCTTCGAATTTATCTATATCATGGAGTGTTGCCAGAAATTTTATACCTTCAAAATTTGCTATATTTGCATTTCGTCTAAGTCTTCGGATTTCATTAAGATGTGGTGGCTTTCTATTAGCTTTTATTGCTTCCTCTCTTGTGTGATATGTATTTATACATCATTTAAAATACTTATTATTATCCCTATTTTGTGGATTAATTATTCCTAGTTGTGGCTTATCTAAAGCTTCTGGTAAAGGTAGATAACTACTATCTTGCAATGGTCTGAATGTGTTTATTTTAAGAAATACCTCTTCTACTCAGATGAATGACCATCCAGATTCTTGTAATGCCTCATCTTCTATTTTATCTATAATTTCATTATATCCTTTTTCTATACTTGCATTAATTCGATCTTCTCTTATAATTTCTATTGTATTTTATTTGAATAGAATTGTTTTTAATATTGGCTCTTGAGATTTTAGCATAATTTTTTTCATATATGCTAATAATACAATTCTTACCTTTAATCCTTCTTTTAAACTTAATTTTCTTTTATATACATTAGCAATTTTTTCCTCAATTGACTCAAAGAAAGCTAATGGCTTACCTTTAGCAAAATATTCTTTGGGAACAGATGTGTAATAATTACATACTTCACCTTTATTAAAATTTTCAGCTTCTGATATTCTATTAATATATAGATCTACAATTTTCTCAAAATAAATATCTGGATCTTCATCTGCTGTGTCATATTCTGAATCACTGGGTTCACTATCTTTATTGTCATTATTCGACTTCATTAAATCAAACCATTCTTTGTCTGTCCTTGATATAGGTTTTGATCTAATCTTTTTATTATTTTTAATTTCTAGTTTTGATAACCATTTTAATAACTCATCTATTGTTAAAATTGATTTCTTTTTTTGTTCTCCTTAAATAATAGAACTTGGCCCCACTTTTATATCATCAGTTAAAAGGTCGTCTGCCAGCATATTTACTTTTCTCGATGTTGGTAGGTGTTCATCGAATGATATGAGATCACCTTCAGGAGTTGGTATTGAATTTTGTGTCAGAATTGGGTTTTTAGCAGGATTTTGAATGGGTGGATTTCCTATTGGAACTGGGTTTTGCATTAAATGCAAAGCTGGTAAACATTGACCTTTACAAAGATTTTCATTTAAATTCATGTGTTTATTAAGATCTCGAGTTTTATCAGTTCTTATTTCTTGATTACAACCTGGACATTTAAGTATCTTAGCCATAGTAATATGTTTTTTCGGTATTTTTTATTAATATACCAGATCTTTTGTTTAAATAAAAAATAATTAATTCAGTTATATAAATTTATTGAAATGTATGATGAATATACATATGAATATATACACAACTCCGGAGAAGTTTGTGGATACAGATGCCAACATCATGAAGGATGTCATGAACATTGAAGAGCAAAAAAACATATTTTATATAAGGTTTGTAGTAAGCCAACTTCTTCTGCACCTGATACTTGTAAAAAACATGCTAAAGGATATTATGTTATGCAGTTTTATGCTTGACAGATGCAAAATATTCTTATTCCATAAGACTTCAGATGCTTGAAGAGTGTCTATAGAGTCAGAAAATCAGTATAAGTTTAATTGATTGATATTGCTAGATGCCATAGTATTCTCACTTTGTAAGACCAAAAAATACACCTGTTATATACCTAGAGCTTAGCTCATTGCTTTGTAATAAATTTTTAGTACTTATTATGAAATAATGACACTTCGTGTCTGTGCTTGCTCCGCTAATTATATTTTTTACTATACTCTTTATCAAAAGAATACTTTAAGAATGCTACTACTTTACTTTACTTTGCAGTATTAAAAAAACTAATTGTTGACTAAATAGATAACTAATGCTCCACTACGCTTCGCATTCAGAGTCACTATGCTTCTCCAGATCAGAAAGCTAAATAGTAATCAAAATAGATATCAAAAAATACACTACAAGGTGTCATATATAAAAAAAAACACTGCGTATAGATTTATATAAGTTTATCAGAAATATACTAAAAAGACTGAAATCTATAGAAAAACAATTGTTTTAAAAAATGCATTAGTCTTGTATTTAAAAAGTCTTCTATTCTATTACTAATGGTCTTATTGTGAGTTTGCACCGAAGTCTCATACAATACTGGTAAGCATTTCTCTATATATATATAATATTACATTTTGCATAGATGTCTAAGCTCTCAAAGTCAGAAGAACCTGACTTGGTGTATTTGGGTAACAGCCACATGAGGCCAACTGATCGACAAGAGACAGTTATTATAACACAGATATAATTTCCAAATTTTGTCATAGGTGGAATTTGAACCTTAGACCTGCCACTTCAAGGATGACAACCCAACCACTACACTAGAATCACCATCCTCAATTTATATATATTTAATAATTATATATTATATATTTTATATAATAAATATGCTTTAAATATATTTATTATATATAGAATTTATTATAAATTTATATTTACAATATACAAAACTTATCTTTAATAATATTTAAAGTATAAGAAATTTTTATTT